CCCGACCCCACCTTTGTTTTCTTTTACTCTCTTTCTCTCTCTTGTTTTCTTCTTCTTGTTCTCCCCCCAAACGCACTTGCTTTCCGGATCCTCACTTACAATCTTACAATCCTCCACCACCACCGGCGCCGGCACTGCAACAGCCTCATCCATCATCTCCATTTCCCTCAGTTGAATCTCAAGCTCATTCTTGTATTTGTTATATACGTTGTGTTGATTTATTTTTCTGACTTTATTGTATTTTGTTTTGTTTAGGGTTCTTCTTTTAACAGTTTTATTTATTTATTTATTATTTACTCTCTCCGTTCCAATTTATGTGAACCTGTTTGACTGGGCACGGAGTTTAAGAAAAAATAAAGACTTTTGGAGTTTGTGGTCCTAAACAAGTCAAAAAGGGGCCTAGAGTATTTGTGTGGTTATAAAAGCTTCTCATTAAGGGTAGAATTGTAAGTTTAAGCTAAATTATTTCCAAATTTAGAAAGAGGTCATTCTTTTTGGAACGGACCAAGAAAGAAATAGGTTCACATAAATTGGAACGGAGGGAGTAATTTATTAAAAAAAATCAAAATCAATTTAAGGTTTTATTACAACCTTCCTGTGCTTCTTTGCTACGGGTGGGGCCTCACCAGTGGTAGCGGTGACAACCCCTCCTTTGTTTCTCTTCGTGGTGTTTTGTGCGTATTTCAGGTTAGGGACTTTGGCTATTAGCGATGAGCGGGACGTGCGTGTGCGAACATGAGGAACAACCCCGACAAGGGTCAACGAGGGGCGGTGGAAGTTGGACGCGAACGTGCTAGGTGGACGCAACATCATCGTATATACCAAGACAATTCCCAGGTTCCACTTGCGGGAGTTGGTACCTCCTGTTTTTCCTTTTCCCTTTATTGTGTTAGTTAAGTTGTTGCAATCTTAGTTCCTATTATTTTATTCACACTATTAGTGCGCTTATAGTCGCAGCCTGTCTTTGTCTAGCGTGGTCTGTTGCCTTGTGTGTGTTAGTGGTTTTCCCGTAGTTTGCCATAGGTGTNAAGAGGAGGGTCAATATAGCGTGTGTCCAAGAGACTAGGTGGGTAGGGTTGAGGGCGAAGGATGTGGACGGGTGTAAACTTTGGTACTCATGAGCCTAGAGAGGTAAGAATGGAGTGGGTATCTTGGTGGATATGGAACTTAGAGAGTTTGTGGTTGAGGTTAGACGAGTGAATGATAGATTTATGGTTATTAAGTTTGTGGTTGGAGAGTACACCCTAAACGTCGTTAGAGCCTATGCGCCACATGCAGGCCTAGATGAGGAGGTTAAACGATGTTTCTGGGAGGGTTTAGATGAGATTGTGCACCAGGTTCCGCCACCTGAAAAGCTATTCATAGGAGGGGATTTCAATGGCCATATTGGGGCGTCCGCAGGTGGCTATGGCGAGGTGCATGGAGGCTTTGGTTTTGGGGAGAGAAACGGAGGAGGTACCTCGCTGTTGGACTTTACTAAGGCTTTTGGGTTGGTGATTGCGAACTCTAGCTTTCCAAAGAGGAAAGAGCATTTGGTTACTTTTCAAAATGCGGTAGCAAAGACTCAGATTGACTATCTCTCCTCAGGAGGTGTGATAGCGCGTTGTGCAAGGACTGCAAGGTGATTCCGAGTGAGACACTCGTGACGCAACATAGACTCTTGGTGTTAGACGTTGGTATTCTGATAGAGAGAAGGAAAATGATAGCTCGGAGAAAACCAAGAATCAGGTGGGGAGCCTTGACTAAGGATAAAGCCCAAGAGTTGGAGTGCTAGTTGTCAGCTATGGGAGCTTGGAGGAGCAGTGGGGATGTGAACACTATGTGGTCAGCGACAACAGACTGTATAAGGGAGTCTGCGAGAGAGGTGTTAGGGGTCTCGACCGGTGTCTCTGGTGGGCACAAAGGAGACTGGTGGTGGAATGAAGTGGTCCAAGGTAAAGTGGAAGCGAAAAAGGCAGCATACCTGAAGTTAGTGGGGAGCATAGGTGAGGAGGAGAGGCGAGCGTGCATAGAGAGATATAAGGTAGTTAGGAAGGAAGCTAAATTGTCGGTCACGGAGGCAAAGAATGCGGCTTATGGTCGTATGTATGAGGAACTGGGGGAAAAAGGCGGGGAGAAGAAGTTATTCCAGCTGGCCAAGTCGAGAGAGAGGAAGGCTCGAGATTTGGACCAAGTGAGATGCATTAAAGATGAAAATGGTAGACTACTGGTGGAGGATGCCCAGATTAAGAGGAGATGGAAGACTTACTTTCATAAACTTCTAAATGAAAAAGGGGATCGTGATATTGTGCTAGGCGAATTGGAGCATTCTGAGAGTCATCGACTTCGGGCCCTGCAGGCGTATTGAGGTCGAGGAGGTCGTTAGAGCTATGCTTAGGATGCGTAGGGGCAGAGCGACCGGGCCAGAAAAGATTCCGGTGGAATTTTGGAAGTGTGTAGAGAGAGCACGTGTGGAGTGGTTGATTGGGTTATTTAATGTTATTTTTAAGGCGAAGAGGATGCCGGATGAGTGGAGGTGGAGTACGGTGGTTCCATTGTATAAGAACAAAGGTGATATCCAGAGTTGTAACAACTATAGGGGTATCAAATTACTGAGTCATACCATAAAAGTATGGGAGAGGGTGGTTGAAGCGAGGGTAAGGATGATAGTGTCTATATCCGACAACCAGTTTGGGTTCATGCCGGGTTGCTCCACCACAGAAGCTATACACCGTGTTAGGGGGTTGGTGGAACTATACAGAGAGAGAAAGAAGGATCTGCACATGGTGTTTATTGACCTAGAGAAAACGTATGACAAGGTTCCTAGAGAAGTTCTCTGGAGATGCTTGGAGGCAAAAGGTGTGTCGGTTCCTTATATTATGGCAATTAAGGACATGTATGATGGGGCTAAGACTCGAGTTAGGACAGTAGGAGGCGACTCTGAGCATTTTCCGGTTGAAATGGGGTTACAACAAGGCTCTGCACTCAATCCGTTCTTATTCGCCCTGGTGATGGATGTGATAACAAACCATATACAAGGGGAGGTGTCATGGTGCATGCTATTCGCCGATAACATAGTTCTGATTGATGAGTCACGAGCCGGTGTTAACGAAAGATTGGAAGTTTGGAGACAGACTCTTGAGTCTAAGGGTTTCAAGCTAAGCAGAACGAAGACGGAATACCTCGAGTGTAAGTTCAACGTTGAGCCGGGGGAAGTGGACGTGGATGTGAGGCTTGAGTCACAAGTTATCCCAAGTAGAGGCAGCTTCAAGTACCTTGGTTCGATTATCCACGGGGGAGAGGAGATCGACGAGGATGTCACACACCGCATTGGGGTAGGATGGATGAAGTGGAGGTTAGCATCTGGAGTCTTGTGTGACAAGAGAGTGTCAACGCTACTTAAAGGTAAGTTCTATAAAGCGGTGGTTAGACCGACCATGTTGTATGGGGCTGAGTGTTGGCCTATTAAGAACTTACATATCCAAAAGATGAAAGTCGCAGAAATGAGGATGTTGAGGTGGATGTGTGGGCACACTAGGATGGAGAAGATTAGGAATGATGATATTCAAGAGAAGGTGTTCGTGGCTCCCATTGATGACAAGATGCGATAAGCGAGGCTCAGATGGTTCGGGCATGTACAGAGGAGAAGCCCAGATGCCCCAGTAAGGAGGTGCGAGCGGCTTGTTGTGGAAGGTACGAGAAGAGGTAGAGGGCGGCCTAAGAAGTGTTGGGGAGAGGTGATCAGGCAGGATATGGCGAGGCTTCAGATTTCCGAGGACATGACACTTGATAGGAAGTTGTGGAGGTCGAGTATTACGGTTGTAGGCTAGGAGGTAGTTGAGTTTTGCGTTACTTTATAACTTTGTGAGCCTAGTACGGTAGGGTTTTGTCTAAGATAGCTAGGGGCAATGTCGTGTCTTACTATTTTCTATTTTTCGACGCATGATCCATTTACTACCCATCGTTTTTGCTTTGCACTTTTCTGCATTTTATGTTCCTATGTTTCCTATGATCTCCGTGGTGAATCTAATATTCTCTCATTTTGTCTTTTTATTATCTTGAGCCGAAGGTCTTTCGGAAACAGCCTCTCTACCCCTTCGGGGTAAGGGTAAGGTCTGCGTACACACTACCCTCCCCAGACCCCACTTTTACTGGGTTGTTGTTGTGTATATATATATTGTATGTATGTATGTATGAAAATTGTAGTTGTATGATATTGTAGTTGTATATAACTGAGTAGAAATAGTGTAAGAAAATTGTAGATAAGTTGTATAATATATAATTAGTTGTATGAAATTTATTTTTACTATGTATAAATCAGATACAAAATATACAAAAGACATATTATATAAATTTTGTATAAAATTTGTATTTAAGTTATATGTTATTGTAGTTGTATTTAACTGGGTAGAAATAATGTATGAAAATTATAGATAAGTTGTAGATAAATTGTTTAATATATAATTAGTTGTATGAAATTTATTTTTACTATGTATAAATATGATACAAAATATACAAAAGACATTGTATAAATTTTGTGTTTAAGTTGTATGTTTTTGTTTCATATTGCTTGAGAATTTTGTGTTCTCATTAACTGATGCTATTCAAAGTTACTACTCCTACATAATCGAGGGCGACACTCAGTAGCACAGGAGAAGGTCGATTAAGACCTAGAATAGAAGTGAATTTGATAAAAACCTTATTCTGTTATATTGTTCTGGTTTAATGCAATATAATACATTGGTCAGAGTAATTATATTTGTTTACCGTAAGATTACAGAAGATTGCATGCGTACAGAGAATTGATTAAGTTATAAACAAGTAGTCTTTTCCGGAATATCCGTTTAAAAAAATGAGGTGTATAATTTTTATCATTTTCATATTTGGATTGCAAGAAAGAGGAAGAAGAAAATTATTAAGGGCATTTGCATCTATATTCGTTTTTTGTGTCACGTTTTAACTTGTGCTCGCTTTGCAAAAAAAATTGCAAGCGTACCCGCTTTTTCGCATAACTTCAGCATACAGGGCTGAAGTAGCAAAGACAATCACGCAAAACTTCAGCATTCTAGTAGCCGGGGATGAAGTTCAGCTCTAAACTGACGTTTTTGTTTTGTAATTGGCGAACTTCAGCTCTAGAGCTGAAGTTTTTATTTGTAACTGACGAACTTCAACTCTAGAGCTGAAGTTTTTATTTGTAACTGGAGAACTTCAGCTCTAGAGCTGAAGTTTTTATTTGTAACTGGAGAACTTCAGCTCTAGAGCTGAAGTTTTCGTTTTGTAACTGGCGAACTTCAACTCTAGAGCTGAAGTTTTCGTTTTGTAACTAACGAACTTCAGCTCTAGAGTTGAAGTCTTTGTGACAGTTGCACAACCCCAAGTTAATGCAATGAACCTATTTCACTTAGGTCCAGCTGAATACCTGCAAATGTAAGTGAGAATGAGATTCATAGGCAAAAAGAATCCCATCTTACGGTCTGCTAGCCAGCGTTTTCAAACGAATCACAGCGATATGACCAAGAACTTCATTCAAAAATCTATGCACTGCAGGCTACATCTTCTAACTGCAGTATCGTTTCTGGAATTGGTCCAAAAAAGATTTTTGACGCAAGACCAATAAAAAAAAATAGGCTCTGCATTTTGTCTTCAAACTGCGGTAGATTCCTCGCATATCTATTTTTGAATTTTCTTTTTGTTTTTAAATGGATTATGGTTTTATATATAGAAGTTTTAAGAGGACATGAAGACAAATAAAAGAAGTTGATTGATAACGATCAAATAGATAGGCTAAGACAAATGGAGAAGATGAGCATGAAATTTTTGTTGAGAAGAAGAAAACGAAGGAGGAGAAGTAGGAGAAAGGGGGCTGAAGTTATTTAAGAAGTGGGTACAAGTTGAAAGTTTAAAAAAAAATGGGTATAGGTTAAATGGGGCGACCAAATAGGGCGCCCCGTGCAATTTTTACAAATATTAAAGCTAAAATTAAAACGTGCTTAACAATTTATAACCATACTGTATATCTTCGTGGTCCCTTAATATTTGTGCGTACTTATATATATGTTATCACTACAAATTTAAAAGTGGTTATACCAATCTAATGTAAAAATAGCATGGTATAACCACTTTTCGGATTGGTCATTCAAAAATAGTCAGTATTTACGAAGTCAATAAAAAATAGTCACTATTTTACTGCAACAGAGACAGGTCCAGCATAATATACTAGAGTTCGGTGCACCTGTGTATGAACTCCAGCATATTATGCTGGACCGGTATACTTTGCTGACTCCGGTATAATATACTGGAGACTAGAGCACCGATGCTCCAAACTCCAGTATATTATACTGGAGTTCCAGCATAAGTACACTAGAACTACAGCATAATATACTGAAGTTCCAGTAAGTATAATTGTCCAGTATAATATACTGGAGACTAGAGCACCGATGCTCCAAACTCCAGTATATTATACTGGACAATTATACTTACTGGAACTTCAGTATATTATGCTGTAGTTCTAGTGTACTTATGCTGGAACTCCAGTATAATATACTGACGTATTTTTCGGGTTTTGAATAATGTTTTCGCTCAGATTTATCTTTACATGAAAAGTGGCTAAATTTCGATTACTTTTAAAACTGGCTATTTTTGAACGACCAGTTATAAATCTGTAACGACCCGACCGGTCGTTTTGAGCTCCGGTGCGTCATTCAGCAGTTTGAGGCCATGAGC